ATCATCACAGCACTCATATCACTATCAATAATACATGTATTTAAAGTATGTTTGTGCCCTCATTTTACTGGTTAGATTGCAACAGGAATGATTATTCTCATAGCTAATAGCTAGGCATCACTCATATAGCTAGGACTATAGCATATGCACTCACACTTCTAACCAAGTAATCTTATCCATGTGTATGTATGTATCAGCTGAAGACTTATACACATACATGTTCATGCAATTAACTAAATTACTATACATTATATATCATTTCCTGTTATGAATACAATGATCATGTGACAGCGAGTGAAAGTAAACTATAATACAGTAAGACAATGGCTACTAAAGGCCCATCAGAAGCTTTCGTGAGTGTTTGTGAAAGAGAACTAGGTAAAGTGTCTATATTCTAATAATCTAATGTGATAGGTTTCTTTCATAGGTATTGATGACTTTTATGATGTGTATGATAAAATTGAGTCACTTTCTGCTCATTGGAAGCAAATTGCTATTTCATTGCATATAAAAATGGACACCATCAGTAAAATAAGAGCTAATGCTAATGGAGATACCACTGCTTGTCTTCAAGAGGTCCTCGAGTGTTGGCTAAAGAAAGATTATGATTACGAACGTTGTGGTATTCCTTGCTGGAGGAAGGTGTGTGTAGCTGTTAAAAAGGAGGCAGTGACTCAGCATTAGCTGATGAAATAGCACAAGAACACCCAGCTACTGGAGGGACTACTCCTCATACTAAAAGAACTACTTATATCAAAAAAGCTGGTATTAAAATAATGCATAAAATTCTTGACGTTAGACATATACATAACCTAAAACTTTTGAGGAACTAAAGCTTAGTGAAAATTTTTCGTTAATTATTTTTCATAAGTTCCCTATAAGTTTAATAGATGCAATTGAATCAAACTCAAAAAAAATTACAAAAAGCTATTACCAAAACAGCATCAAAAGTTATCACTCTCAAAATCTTCTGGCTGTATGATATGTTCTGCATCATTGATTACACTTAAATTATTAATTACTGCACGCATCAGTTTAAAATTTCAATATATTTTAATTTTTTAGGTTCTACAACTGATTATATTCCTTCAACTATAATAGATTTCAACCTCCACAGAGAGTTATTTGAAATACAGGAGCAATTTGCTAAAGCTATTCAAGAAACAATAAAATATTATCCGAAAAGGTATTTGCCAAATCTTATCGAATACATCACAGCACATATCACCACTTTACTTGGCCCTCATGAGAATACTCCAGCTAAAGCACAAGCAGTTAGAAAAGAGTTTAAAGAAATAAAAACTGTACATGATTTTTTTGGTTTACTACAAGACAAGTACACATCATGGTTTAAGTATGGGCCAATAAAGAAACTTGTTGATGAAAATTTTATGGAGTACGCAACTGAGACCGACTTTGATTACATTGCATCTGGTTCTTGGCTTTGCTATGAACAACGTTTACAGGATTACTTTAGGAGGTGCATTACAATAGCTAATCCTGCTTTGTATGGAATAACTGATGCTCCTCCTGGTAAACCAGTAATAATTGCTAAAGTTGATCGAGGTGACTACAATCAGAATGATCTCTACTTCTTACGCAAAGCAATACCGCCAGAACTTGACAGACCTGATTTAAAACTCTACCTTTGCCAAGTTCTTCCTAATTAAAACTCTCATTACCGTTGTAGGATTTTCTAATAAAATTCCTTAAAAACTGTTTGGTACGTGAACATTTCGACAAAGGATAGCACATTGTTACTTAAGTATGTTGATTTGATAAAATATCTATGCAAATTATGCTCTCTGAAAATACAAACTTTTGCAAAAATACCCACAAGAGTATTATTATTATGAGTGTACAATAGAATCGTCTTATTAAACAGCCTAACACAGCCCAAGCAACAGTACATGTTAAATATTGCAGTAAATAGAAAAACAATTTTATGTAACACGCTGCATGTATACTTCTTCAATAATGAGATAATTTATTGGGCAAAGCCCTTAGTGATGAAGTGAGTTTGTATGGGTATAGGATCATCTAACTATTATTAAAGTTGAATAACCTAATCTTTATGATGATTGCATGGCTAGGAGGCGGAGCCCCTTAATGTACAGCCCATTGAGTGGGAGTGAAGTTATTAAGGAAGATGGCAACAAGAGGAACATCAGAAGATTTCATGAATGTTTGTGACAGAGAACTAGGTAAAGTGTCTATATTTAATAATATAATGTGATAGTTTCATTCACTGTCAGGCATTGATGACTTTTATGATGTGTATGATAAAATCAAGCCACTTTCTGCTCATTGGAAGCAAATTGCCATTTCATTTCGTCTCAGAATAAACACTATCAATACCATAGAAGCTAAACACAATGGAAAAGTTATCAATTGTCTTCAAGAGGTTCTACAATGTTGGCTAAAGAAAGATTATGCTTATGAACGTCATGGTGTTCCTTGCTGGAGGAGAGTGTGTGTGGCAGTCAAAGAAGGAGCAGATGACCCAGCATTAGCTGATGAAATGGCTCAAGAACATCCAGCTACTGGAGGGACTACTCCTCATCCTCTACCAGCTACTACTGGAGGAGCTTCTCCTCACACTGAACAAGCTGGTAAATGAATTACCGTATAAGTGGTTTTTTAGGGAATTATATTTCACGAAATCTGCTAAATTTCCAATTCGCGGATTTTAATTTCGCAAATTCTACCACGTGTGCCATGTGGGTACCATATTAAATTGATTTTCACAGATTTTATTTTCACAAACCAGACGGGAATCCACGAAATTTGCAACCCTCGAAAAAAACCACTTATACGGTATAGACAGATTTTATAAATACCGTAGGACAATTAATATTCACTAATGCTAATAAGAAT